TTTAACTCGCACAGTAGGAGAATAAGAGAAATAGCATGCTTCAAAATTCGTGTTTTTTAATTCAGTGAAGAATTACAGAAAAATACTTTTGCTACTAAAGAATTCACAATGGTATTCATTCATGTTTCATTCGCCTTCAATATTACAACTTTTGAGACGAGTCATCTTTAAATTCGGGAGCATCAAGAATCTAATTAAATTAAGAATATTACCTTTTTTTGTAAATTCTGAAAATGTGTTCAGTTTTCCAGATTTACTAAATCTAGTGTAGATTTTAACGCATGGGGGCAAATTATCAGAGCTACAATTTTACAATGGTTTTCCCAAGGTATTCTTCAAAAACAAAAGTTCAACTTATTAAAAAATAATTTCTAAGACATGAACACGCTCGCACAAAAGCAGAGCGCAGTTCTGAAACGCCGATCTTCTGTTTCTGCTTTTAATTTCTTACTTATTTATTACAGGAAGTGTGGGTTTTACGTACGTATTGCTGTTATGTAGAGAGAGAGAGAAAGAGAGAGAAAGAGAGAGAAAGAGAGAAAGAGAGAGAAAGAGAGAGAGAGAGAAAGAGAGAGAAAGAGAGAGAAAGAAAGAGAGAGAAAGAAGAGAGAGGAAAGAGATAAAGAGAGAGAAAGGGAGAAGAGAGAGAAAGGGAGAAGAGAGAGAAAGAAAGAGAGAGAAAGAGAGAGAGAAAGAGAGAGAAAGAGAGAGAGAAAAAGAGAGAGAAAGAGAGAGAAAGAGGGAGAGGAAAGAGATAAAGAGGGAGAGAAAGGGAGAAGAGAGAGAGAAAGAGAGAGAGAGAGAAAAAAAAGAGTTTTATTTCCATACAGATTGTGTTGTGTCAGGTGGGAGTCGCCCCGGACGCGCGTGGGCAGAGACGCGGCAGAGACAGGCGTTGGGCGTGCCGCTGCTTCGCTTGTCCGCGTTGCAACACACACACACACACACGAGCACTGGTTGGCGGCAAATTGCCGCGTTCTTGGAGTGCCTAGACAAGCGAAGATAAAACTGTCGAGCCTTCTTGTTCACGAGACATCACGTACGAGGAAGTCGTACATTACGGTCCAGGAGGGTTAAACCCGAATAGGATTTTCTTACACGAATTTTCCCTCACTTAGCACATTCGTTGATGCAGTTTCACTAAAGATAAGTATGAGCAACTTGTGATAATATTAGGTACAAGTTTTGTTGTTCGAAATGTTTTATTGATTGATTAGTGATTCCTGGAGGGTGAACTGCTAGGGTCATTAGTCCCATAAGTGTAGTGCATTTTTAATGCGGGGGTGGTGATTTTCTCCCTCTGGCTGGCTGGATCTGGCGCTGACCTAAGTTGTTTGTGGGGATATTCCCCAACTAGGTATCTCCCACCATCGGAGCACCGCCCCAGTCTGGTATTCGCCTGATGTTCATCGGAGAAACGACGGAAAACTACCGATCACAGCAGCCGACCACTCGAATTCTCCTCCAGACAGCGGCTAAATCCGATCTAGCTAATGTCGAAACTTCTGACACCGTCGAGGCTCGAACCCGAGGACCACCCGGTCAAAGGCTCTGCAGCGAGAGACATTAGTTGATGCCCTGAGCCACCTTTGCTGGAATGTTGTCCGAAATGGAAAAACTCTCTCCTTTCATTGGCAATAAAAGCTCAATATTCGAAAGTAATTGATTTCCATTACGTGAATACATTTTAATTTTAGTTTCTAAGTAGTAAAGTTTGAAGTGAGATAACAAAGTTTAGCAAGAATGTACGAGTATGCCGCTACAAATCGTGCTCGGACTAACTCCCGTTAGAAAACTATGCTACTGCCAGAACTAGGGAATTTCGGGCTATGCACAAAACTAATATTCAGGAATCCCTTCCCTATGCATATTCTACGTTTTTTTAAATAAAAATGTTATGAACTGGGGACTAGGGGAGTTTTTATAGCTTCTGAATTTACAATTTTTAAGCAAATTGTGAGCAATAACGAATTATTTACTGTAACATTTTATGCGTACTAATTTTCAAAACAATTGTCCATGCCTTGCGCCAGCTCTGGCTGAAGCTAGGTGTTTGATTTTATATTGAGAGTAGTAAAAACAATTCAGACAAAACTGGTGGAACAATGTTAAGAAGCCTCTTTTTGGGTAATCTTGGAAACTGTTGAACAAGGATTACAATATATGATTATGTTTTGACTATTCAAAACATTGACTACGTTACCGGGAACCGAACCGGGATCTTATGTATACGTCCAGTTGCTCTAACTCCAGTTACCGAGACATTCTACGATTCAAACAGCCTTTCGACGATAAGAACCTTGACGGATATACTGTACATTAAATCATTTAAACTTCCAATGATCAGTGGAGAAATGTCATTTTTATAAAAGTGTAACTGTTGAGCGATTTGAGCATGATAGAAAAGCATGTTATGCTTAGCTAAGCAGAGCTAAGTTCAGAGTAAATTCTCTTAGCTTTGCTTAGCATGCCGGCACGGTTGTTCATCCGGGCCGCCAAGGCCACGGAATAGAAAGTACAGAAAGGAAACTTGACGGCGATTTCTTGGGTTCATGAGAGGCAGCGAGGTTGCATTATTGAAACACAGTAATCGCAATATTTGAACATAGGAATAGATAGAGAATATTCAACCACCATAAAACGTGTTTCACCATTAAAGATTTAATTTAAAAAATTCTATTATACGCTATTAGAAAAAAATGGATGTCCTTAAGGATAGTATGTGGACAAATAAATCAGAAAATGATATAGAAACCAATGGAGAGGAAATAATAAATACATCGTTGTACACCTTTCTGTTTACTAACACTCCTTATTAACTATAAAATGTTTACAAATTTAATATACACAACGAAACAAACTTAACCACGAGCAACAACCGGTTACACAAAATTCACGATCTAAAAACTAAAAACGCGTGTCATATAAACAGAGCACAGAAACGGAAACCCAGCAACAGCGGCATCCAGGCAATGCCACCAAAAGCACAGGTGACCCTAGTGGCGTTGGGTCAGTGTACTCGGTTTAAATATGGCGGACGCAGCATGTATTTGGCGCGCGGCGGGCAGAGAAGTTTCCATTCTGTCCCTTTCTATTCCGTGCCGGGGGCGCACAAATAATGAAGAGCGATGGCAGGCAGGGCGACATAATTGTGAACCAACGCGCGACTTGTCTCCGCCCAGCGCGCGGGGGAGGCGGGCAAAGGGGGGCGCTCGTCCTCCCCCGCAGCGCCTCCGAATCCGAGAAGTGCATCCAGCGTTTTTCCCGCGCCCGGTGGCGTCTCCGCTGGCGCCCGCCGTTATTAGTCGCACATGCGCGCCACCGACGCCTTTTTTCGGGCCAGAGGGGAGGGGGAGGGCGGGGGAGGAGGCGGCACCGGGTGGAGGGAGAGCGGAGTGGAATTAGATGGCAGCTCTTGACGCTTCAAATCCGAGGACTCGAATAAAGGTTTAGAAGACTTTTTGAGTAAGTGGATGAGTACTTGGAATTTGGGCGCGACAAATATTATGGTTATTAGTCCCGTTAGTGTAGTGAATGTATTTTATTTCGGTAGGCAGCGTTCCTCTCCAGCTGCACGGTGAGGTTCTGCGCTGATCTACACGTCGTCTTTCAATTTACGAGGATAACTCCCCGCAGGTTTATCCCTCAGCAAGGCACCGCCCCAGCCGGGACGAACTCTACGCTCCGACTGGTCTCTCGGCATGTGTAGCAGAGCATTGCATGGAAGTGTGTGTGTAAGGCGAGAGTATTGAACAAGGAACGAAATATCGTGCGCGATCCGTGGCTCATTTGTTAGGGTGCTGCTCCGACATGCGTCTGATATTGATTGGAGAAATGGTGGATGACTACCGAAGAGAGCAGCCGGCCGCTGGGATTCTCCTCCAGACAGCGAATTCCACCTATCTATGCAGCCAGTATCGGAAATCCGCCCCCATCAAACGTTAGGACAACCAAGTCGTTTGCCTTTCGTCCTCCTAATAGTACAATTCCACAGACTTTTAACTTTGGTCTAACACTTCCTTTAATTAAAATTAAGCTCATATCTATGAAGAACCGATTCCTTTACTACCCTTTTTCGAATGCCATCCTTAGCTTCTACAACTTTCGTGGATTAATGACTTAGATATTCTTTTACTATTTTATTTCCTTCGTGTTATTTCTGATAAGAAAATTTCGACATTTTATTCTTTTACATGACCAATAAGTGTCCTAAATATTATCCTAAGAGTTCATATCTGTATTACATTTTATTAAATTCTTTAAATTAATATTATTCTTAAGTACAGAAAAGTGAATTGAAAAGTACTTGTATATCTTGAAACTTTGTTTTAAATTAAATGAATAGGAGAGCATAAAACAGAAACATTTATAAGATAATATAAGTTATTATGCATTAATTATTATTAAGTCCCAGAATACTTTCGGTACTATTGCCACCGAAGAATAGCGGATCAGTTAGATAATGTACAAAAGGAAGATTTGTAAGATTATAATTTCAATATCCATTTCAGTTTACCTTTCATTAGACGTCATACGACACCTTTCATTGGGGTCACTTTTAATTAGAGGTGACATAATAAGAATGTTTCCATTTGTTTGATAATTATCAAGTTGTACACGATTGTAAAAAGTCATTCATTCATTATTCATTTACTACTCTCTTACGATCTGACATCGAACTAAGAGATATCTGTTCATATTTTGTTCCAAATAATTAATTTATCTTAAGTAAAATGAAAAATTGAAACAAATTTAATAGAATCTAGCGTTTTTGCTGTTATTATTTATAAAATAATATATACGTTTTAAATTGTATCATAGCAAAATTGACTTATTCCCGTGGCAACCATTATTTTGCCGGAAGGGACATTCTACGCGAAAGTGACATTTTCTGCACAAGTTCCTTTTGAAATCTGACCCATGTTGTATTTAGTTGTAGTTACATGTTTCAATGTTATGTATCGGTTGAGTAAAGGAGTAAAGAATTAATGCCACATCACCATTAGGAGAAGTTGCTTCAGGATTTTCTTCATGGGATGCAGGGATGAAACAGAGTCTTCAAGAAACTCACCTGTAACGAAAAGAAAAGTATTACAAATGAAATCGTATCTAAAATACTACATATTTTTCAATTTACATTAAAAAATTCCTGAGAAAGTAAACTAATTTTAATAAAACAATACCAAAACATGTGAAACGTTAAACAACAAACATACTACTTGATCATGAATTCACATTACTGTACTTCTAACAAATCCATTTGCATCATTTTTAATGAAATACTTAGCTTCCCCCTTCTAAATTTGCCTAATCTGACTTGATTTGAAAAGCACTCTTGAGAGTAAATCAAACAATATGAATTGTTCAGAAATTACATTCCCTTTTTCGCAATATACATACATAATACACTTTTCAGCAGACCAAGCAAATAGAGAATATAAAGCACAATATAAAGGAAATTACGCATAGACCTTACGCAGAAAAAAAATATTAATTTTCCTAGAGTTAGTAGTAGACCATTGCAAAGAGACACGTACGGGCAATAAAAATCACACGAGAAGCGTAATGACATTCCGCATACGATCTTGTGTTTTTGCATTTATTAGACATTGCAACATCTTGCATCGTTGAGCCTCTCATTTATGGCCAAAGCTCCGCCGAATAACATCGTAAAGAACCGTACCACAATCTTTAACACAATATTAACTGTGACCCCCCTCATCCTCTTCTACATGGAAGCTGGAAGGGTTACGGGCCCGTAGACCGCACAGCTCCCCGATTTCCGCCGACCAACCCCTGCAGCCGCCTACATCCCCACCCCTCCCACCCCATCCGCTCCCGCCGCCCGCTCCACCCCCCTCCCGGGCAACTAACGATCTTGTTCGTTTTGTGATGTAAACAAGTTAAATTTCCGCCCGGGGCTGAAACCGGAGCGCTGTTCTCGTCGCCGCCGGGCGATTTGTCTTGCGGCTGCCTGCCGCCAGGGCGCGCGGGGCGGCAAAAAGACGAGCGACGCGACGCGACGCCGACGTCCTGTCCGCCCCCCCTCGCCCCCGCCCCGCCGCCGCCGAGATTAAAGAACCCGGAGGGTGGCGGGGCGCAAATTGGGCGACGGGGCTGAGGTGTCGACGCAGCGAAGGTTATTTCGAGGGCTGCCGCTGCCGCCACCGCCGGCGCACAGTGACTCCTCGCTCCAAGAAAAAGAGTCGAAATGGGAAAACACTTTCTACTTAGGGGTCTTTATGCCAACGGTTGTTGTTTGCCCTAGTAGTCGCGGAGTCATCATTCGCGACGGTGAGGAACACATCTTAGGTCATCATTTTTAGAGTCCAGTTCGAAAGTGAGTCACCACAGGCAAGGTTCTATTGCTGCACCGAGGGTATACATAAGAACTGGACATTACCTATTATAATCCTTGCTTTGTGCGTTAGAGATTATATCCGTTGGAAACGGATTATTGTTGAGATGGTATATATAAACGTAAGAAGTGAGAAAAATCATCTTTCAAAATCACTTTTAAACTAGCTCTACCTCGTAATTGCATTGCTGGCAAAAGTTTGAATAAAGGAGTTTTTAATGCCGTTTAATAACTTTTTGCTTTAATAATGTTCGTAATACCCACAGTTTATTGTTGTATTTATTCTGAGTCAACACCTTCTAAATTATCGAGTTTGAGACGAGCGTTTTGTGATACGTTTCAAGTCTTCTCCGCCATAATGGATCGAACATTTTGTTTTTAAATGTTTGGCATTATACTCGGAATCAAAAAGCTCAAAATCTCCTTAAATTTCCGAATTTTAAAATAAATTTGTGTTTTACTCAGTGACGCAAATTTGATGTCTATACGCAAGCGCGCGCGCGTGCATGTATGTGTGTCTGTGTGTGTGTGCGCGCGCGCGTGTGCAACCGGGGGGGCGGGGTCAGCCGACATATTTTCTTATGATTTTTTTTCATTTATGATGGGTTAGAAATGTTTTATATTTGTTGATTTATAATTACTTATAGTACATTTAATTGATATATTACATGACTCTCGTTACTATAGAAAATATGTAAAACTATACTTGTGAACGTGTCTTGAGCTTCTGGGGGGAGGCTGAAGACCCATAATTTTGACTGCCTCCTTCATTAAGTTCCAGACTGTATTTCATTTCTTTTGCTTTTCTTTTGACTAGCTTCTGGACGTCAGGAATCACTGCGCGTTGCCGCCTTCAGGACCGCCAGAGCCGCCGCCGCCGCCGCTCCTCTCGCGGCGTCTTCCGCCATTAGTGCGACACGCGCGCGAACACATGCAGTTGTCGCCGGAGCGTGGGCGGCAATGTCCGGGCTGGCTGCGACGGCTGAATACAGTTTTTCTGCCAGCGCTCCCTTTCTCGCATGCAATTGAACGAGAACGCTCCACAATCGTTTACCCACCCACGCCATGCGTTCTCTGGTGGGGAGAAGTACTAGAGAGCATGAGTACGGCGGTAATGGGAGTGGTGGAACTCATCGGCAGGTCGAGACATATTGCTTGCTTCTATTATTCAAATAAATACGATAAATAAATAAAAAACACGTTTTATGAGTACGAACAACACCAAATTGAGAGAAGGGTAAGCAATAAATTAATTATCACAGTACGACGATCATAATGTTTTCGCATAAAATGAAAGAATTCAAGTAACAGGCTTGTATCCATGAATATAAATTTTTCCGAGTTAAGAAAACTAATTCTGCATCTGAATGGTGCGAGTAGTTAGGTGAAGTATTGAGAGAAGCAGATAACTCTATTAGTCGAAATGTGGCTAAAGAAAAAGAGCTGTAATTAGAGACGGAAGGACTAACCCATTGAATAGTGGAGCAGAATTGGAAGCTAAGATAATGCTAACAAAGCAGTTTGTTGGAAAAAATACTAAAGATAGTGGATGTTGGTGAGGATATGACGTCAAGAGTAAGGTGGCGATTGAGAAAGGAATTGAATTTATATATTGACGGAACTACGGAAGGTGGAAAGTGTCGATGGAAGAGGAAAAGAAGAGTAGACGGCAAAGAGGACCAGACGTCCACAACTCAGGGACGGAGAAGGCACTGGGCTCAACAGAAAACAAATACTCGTGTGCTTCATTAGAAAATCGTCAAAAAAATAGTACTGGGGAAATATCAAACACAAAGTGGTGCAGTGGTGACTTCTAAGTTACTGCGCATTGCTGAAAGTAAAATGAACTAAAGCAAAACGAAGATAAAAAGCAACCAAGGTTGGCGGTATTTACCAAACGAAGATGAAATATCGAGGGAGAGTGGAATTCAGAAGCATTACATTGATCAGTAACCTTTGCATTTCACACGCTTCGTAAGTTTATGTTTGGGAATCAAAATGAGTTTAGATTCTCTTTTAGAGCATGCGATGGTATTTTCCCTGAAAATTATGTTAGGAAATGGAATATATCTCATATTTGAAGGCAATAATTTGTGACATTATTTATCTGAAATTAAATTCGCCATGTTCTCATACGAATAAAATGTTAACTTTTCCTCAAAATATTAGTTATATATAAAGATGCATTAGAAGCAACACTACATTTTTTATCGGAACAATACGAGAACGAATTACGGAAACGATATATGAAATATCCCAAAGTAACAGATTGATTAATAAATAATAAAGACAATAAAGGGGGGAAATTTTGTGGAAGTATTTCTCGAATTTCAGATGCATAAATTAAGCGAAAATAACTAGTGAAATATCATAGTATGAACTTTCGTCTTTGCTTTTCCGAAATATAAGAGGTTGTATCATAAGAGAAGCCTTGGCGTTGATCAGCCCCTCCTCTGGTTTTCGCAGCCTTCTGGCGGTAGCATTCTCATACGCTTCGCCCTTTCGATTTGAGCGCGTCCACCAACAAAGCGCGCCCGCTCGTAAGGCCAATCGTAAACGTGAATGCGCGGCGCGGTTATTTTTGCATCCGGTTGCGCGTCGGGTGGGATTGGGGGCGGGCGGGGTGGGGCAGGGTCTGGCGGAGGCGGGACGGGGGCGGTGGCGGGGGCGGAGCGGGGCGGGGGCGGGGGGGCGGTGCAAAGCGAGTGAGGCTCGTTCGCAAAGTGAGCCGGGAGGTCGCGTTTGAGAGCGCCCGGCCCGGAATAACCGCGTCTTTGCTCTTTGAAACGCAGCGCACGCTCTGCGCGCAGACCTCACTGCTTTTGGGAGAATACTCGCTAGAGCAAAGGCCGGGAATTACTTTGAAGGAAGAAACAACTGTTTCATTAATTGCAATGAAAGTTTTAGATTTGAAGGTGGTATGGAAAATGGAAAAGTTTGCTTAAAAAGACAAATGCTTGATTATTAATCTGCTAGACGTTGCTCTAAAACGGCCAATAGACATTGAAAAGCAAAAAGGATATTGAGTAGTATATTTTCGTGAAACAATTGGGAGAATAGTAGATGAAGAGAACAGTAGATGATAACAAAAATTAGAATGGTTGAAAAATGTATTAAAATTGAAGAAATGGACAAAATGCATGATTTTAAGATTGTATTTGTTTACACCTTCAGACTTGCCTAAAGATATAAAATACTTGCCACAGTAAAGTGGAGGTATAAATAAAATGTTTCGTATAAGTTCTTTGTTTTCCTACGATTTCCACACAAATATTTAATTTCTTCTTCAAAAGGTCGCAAAAGCAATTTTATCATATCAAACGCAACTTTTTCTTGGACGTCATGACAGTCTCATGTTCATTAAAATACTGCATTTTATACAAAATATATGTTGGTATTTAGTGGAACTAATGCTTAAGAAATATTTCACAGTTCTATCGGTCTGTAAAATTACTTTTTTAATTAATTCGAAAACGTTAATTTACAATGTTTTCCTTAATTTATTGATAAAATAAAAACGTAGACATGCAACCTTTTGTTCTGAAATTCCACAATTACTGCAAAAGAAGAAACTACAATAAAATAAATTCCACTTAGCAGCATATTTATTTTTTAAAATAATTGCTTCAGAATAGAACCGGGCCATCCATCAGAGAGACCTTTCTTCTTCTTGTCCTTTCCTTCCTGCTACACACATGTGCCGCTGTCAAAAGAGAACCCTTCTTTCGGGAATTCTTTTTCAAAGGCCACCGCCGCGGTTTCCAGGGAAACAAAATGAATCCTCAGCGTTGGCTTCGCCGTCAACTTCCGGGGAGGTGGCGGGTCGTCCGTCATCGCAGCCTCACCGGCGCGGGCGGGGCAGGTTTCAGCCTCATTTGTCCCCGAAACGCCCTCGCCCTCGCCCAACCCCGCCCCCGCGCTTCCCCTCGCGGCGGCGCCCCGGCGGCGTCAGGCAACGCACGTGGAAATATTTCAATAAGGATTTGATTAATTGGTTGATGCTTCCGTGCATGTGAACTGCTATTGTTCTCATTCTCGCTCGTGTGGTGAATGATTTCGTCCAGGGAGGAGGCGGTGTTCCTCTCAGCTGGGAGATGAGATCAGGTGCCGAACTACTCGCCGGCTTCAGGGAGGTTTCCTCCGTTGGGTATCTCCCCCAGGTGATTTTTCGCCCCAGCCGGGACAAGCTCTAAGCTCCTGACTGGTTTCTCTTCATCTGTGGTAGGGTAGTGCTTGTAAGTGTAAGTAAGGGATGAGGATAGGGCAAGGAAAAGTAAAGAAGAACCTCGCGCAGCCCTTTTGCTAGGGTACTGCTCCGGCGTTCGCCTGGTGTTGATCGGAGAAACCACGGAAAACTACCAAACAGAGCTGCCGGCCCCGCTAACTCTCCTCCAGACAGTGAATGAATTCGATCTGTATAGCAAGTCTCGATAAACCGCCATTGCAGGGACGCGAACTCTAGAACCTCCTGGTCAGTGTTGCTGCAGAGGCAATGGAAATGCTGGCTCTGAGCTATCTCAGCCAACATTTAAAATTTATATGTTTGAATATTAATAAAGTATTATTGTAATTAATATTAATAATTTAAAGAAAAATATGTCTTGTTTATGGATAAGGGAAAATACAAGTATAAAGAATTGGAAGATAATAGAGGCAATGGCAAAAGATAAGGGTTTGTTCAAGCAGAAAAATATGGTAAAATATTATATTTGGAGTATAATGACGTCTGTAAGAGGATAATAGTTGGAGCACCCATGGTATCTACCCAAAAATGAGATTGGAAAAAAGAAGTTTAATTGCTAGATTCGGATTGGGGGACGAGTTTAAAGAGAACATGAATTTGATGCAAATGGAGGAAATATGTAGGTGTGAAAAAGGGGATTAGACGCAGGTAATGGATAGATGCAGCAGAGAGGAATTGAGTAAAGAATAAGCATAGAAATGTTATTAGGGAAAGGAGGTGAAGAAATAGAATTAATGAAAAAATCAAAAACAGGGAAGAGGAACAAAAGAGAGTAGTTTGCAGAAAACGTAACGGTAAAGTACAGGCAAAATATTGGTACGATGTCTCGTAGAGGGATGATACAGTTTTGAAGAATATTACAGAAATATTATCTATCGCACTAGAACTCAAGTAATATATTATTTTCATTTCAGGTCCTTAGTATTCGTCGTAGAATTACATTGCACTGCCTCTATCATCTCCAATGGCCTCATATTTTCGTAGCATTTACTTCCCAATATCTGGAAAAAGATACACCTGGATATTTTTTGTGGTGCCTTCACAGTCTAGAGGAATATATTTAGAACGTCTGACCGTACTACTACCTTAGTTTCTGTGTAAAGGGGAATACTAGTACAAACTCTATTTCCTTTTCGCAAGATATTCAAGTTCACGATTTCTTTTAGTTTCGGAGATGTCCGAACGACTCGTGGAGGATAGAAGCAGTTTCAAATTTCACCTATTTCAATAGCGTTTTCTTGATTTATTTCTCAAATTATGTAGACTCACACAGCACTTGAACACAAACATAACATTGATGCAAATACCAAATAATATGAGTGCACATCAATAGCGTGTTTACTTTCTACTAGATTGCTAACCCGGAAGAACCCCTCTTGTTTTCAGGGTGTCGCCATATTTCAGACGCGTCCAAAAACGCCCCCCTGGCCGTTTGCGTGACCGCGACCGGCGCCCGCGAACCTTATGAGGGCACACGTGGGCGGGGGCGAGGGCGGGGCGGGCGGCGCGGCCTGTGAGGACGGGCGAGGCGCGGCGGTCCGGGGCGAGGACGCGAGGACTCAAACCGGCAGCCGCTCCACGCCGATCCAATTCGCCGTTTTTGCCCCCGCAGCCTCCCGTCGCGGCTCGCGGCCCGGGCCATTACTTTAAAAGATGGGAGAAAAGATGAATGAATGGCAGACGAAATAATAATGATTGAAATAAAGCGCGACTCGGCGCGGGGTGAGACGGACTTCTTATCCTTAATTGGCAGGATGGGATGTAAGTGTGTGTGCGAGTGGCCACACAAAGAAGACTGTTATCTTCGAATATCGTCGCTTTCCTTCAGTCATTTTACGAAATGTTCTCAAAATTCACAAAAATAGTGTTGCTTTTTAATAGAAAATATTTTCACACAGACTGAACCTTCTTCTTTCCAATTATCCTTCCCTCTTAATGCTGATGGATCTCTTGAATATGTATAAAACAATTTTCAATGTAAGTTTTCGCCTTAATCGGAATATTCCCGTGGAAATTTGAATAATTTAATAAATGAAGGCTTAGAAGAAGAACTCGAGCAAGAGCACGATTCAAAAGTTACGACTTGATGAAGGTGTAGAAAAAAAACTAATAGTTCTTTTGTAGTTCATAGAATTTTTTTTAAATAACGCAACGGCATTTATGAAGAATTGTTAGTGCACTGATTCTAGAAAATTTAAAAAAATAAATCCTTTGTTTCCGGTGAAAAATGTGTGCGAAATAAAATCAATATTTATTGTGCGCTTTTCATCTACTAGTGCGCTTTTCATCTATTAACTTCGATTTCACTTCATAAATCCTACGTCGATTCAAAGAATGGGAAGCATTTAAAAATAGCCGGATGAGTATTCTCTTAATACACTACAGTAAGGGATGAGTGGTCAATGAATGAATAAATCGTTCTCTTGCAGAAAGTACGCGCATTTAATTCCTATTGAGTGACTGCTCGCGTTTAGCAGAAAATTCAAATGGCCGTATCACTCCCCTCCCACACCACATCTCCATAAAGTACTCACATCTTGGCAATCGTTATGAGACAGCGTAAGCCCTGAGTTTACAAAACATGCCACCCGCGTGATAATCCTCTCCCGCGAGCCCCGAGCCGCGCTTCCCCTCCCCACTCCCGCGCCCCCATCACCCGGCGCCCGCA